GAATATAATAGAAGCAGCTTTGGAAGGAGTATCTGAAAATTAACTTACTCTTTCTACATTTTCATCCATTAGTCAAACTAAGGGATCTGTGTATGGATATTCATATCAACCACAGCTTTTCCTTCCACAAATGCTAAAAACTCTTACTCCTAAAACACAGTTTACTAGGCATTTCCTCACATATATAACATATCTATGCATGTATACACATGTGTATATATATATATATGTGTGTATATATATATACACATATATATATATAAACATATATCATCACAGCAGGATATATTTTCTTCAAGTACAACTGATTTCTTGGCTAATACAAAGCTGTGATGACAGTTTATATAAAATACTTACATAAGGTCATTCTGATTAAATCCAGACATTCACAAAATCAATTTATTGAGACACCTTCTATAAGAATCTCAAAAGAGTAATACTGGCAAGCAGGCTGAAAACCCAAGAATATTCTGTCTTCAAAACTGCAGTTCACTTCTGACTTTCAAGTTTTACCACTAACTAACAGCTATTATATTGCAGAACTCTGGATAATATTTTTTTTCTCAAATAGTAATAAATATTTCTATGGACAGCCACTGAAAAGCAAAAAAAGGCACATCTGTGTGAGTTACTCATAAGCAAAAATGTTAGGAAGCAGTGAAAAACCGAATCGCTTAGTTAAGGTAAACTAAAAAGTCTTCAATGATAAACAGGTCAGTTTATTTAAAGCCTCTCATAAGCACCTTTTTTGGAGTGATTAGGGTCAAAAGTATTTTGATCAGAATGGGCTGACCTCCCTCCTCATGTTTACCTTAAGGAAATGGAACTTGTGAAAGGGCAGAAATGAAGCTGGAAGGAGCAGGAAGGGCTTAGGATGAGGTAAAAGGCAAGAACAAAAGGAAGGGCTCTTCTCTAAAGACAGAGCCAGTCAGAGATGAGGAAGACGATGACAAAATAAAAGATATTTGAATTTAGAACACCTTTTCAACACAAGTAACCTGAAAAGCAGGATTTGGAGTAAATTTTTTCACTGGTATTACCCAGATAGGCATCTCCAACCCACTCTGCTGTCCTTTAGCAGGTTGAATTTATTTGTTTTTAAGTACAGGTTAAAAAAGTAAAGCACAATGTTCCAACTTTTCAGAAGCAGAACAAGAAACCAAATTTTCAAAACTAAAAGATTAGCTCATACAGGAATCTCTCCTTAATCCAAAGACAAATAACTTTGCTTGCATTTTGAAACACCCTGTTTTCTTTTGAGACAGGACAGTTATGATTAGAACACAGCCAATCCATGAAAAATTTACCAGCTATAGAAAAAGTGGTATTAAACCTTCTTTGAAATTTAACTCTTAATGGACTACAACTCCCCAGTCTCACTCTGCTTACCTTTTGCCCTGTCCTGAAATCCTAAGAGCCACAGAAAATCTGGCATCCTTCAGCATCTCTCTGTTGAATTTACATGGAAAGCTACAGCAGCTGGAAAATTAAAATTCAATTAATTACAGTACAGAGGTACAGTAAATTTGTTTTTTAACTGTCCATAATAATCTTCATGTCTGTAACTACGAGAGTGGTGGTTTGCTTGTTTTTACTCATGAAGTATACTGAAGGAAAAAACCCATTTGCTAGTATAAATGTAGAAGTTACAAGTCTGAGATAAAATTAGACAAGATAAGAGTTCTTCATAACTGAGGACTGAAAGATGAATTTAAACAATTAATTAAAGCAATGCAAACATGTCAGTTGAACTTTGTAAGCTACAAACTCCCTGGTATTCCTATGCACATTACAGAACTATTCAGGATTTCAAAGGATGCAATTTTAAGGTAATGACAGGTTTACAAAGGAATTTAATTTAGGATAAGAGAAGATCCATTTCCTCTCTCAGGATACTTCCATATGCTACAAATAAAAAGATTTATCAAAGATTTTTTCCTCTCAAAGGTAATAAAGAGCTTCTTCAACATCTAACGTGGCAGTCCAGCTTCTTCTGATAAATTGCACACTTTAGGGAAATTATTTTTTTTCCATTCAGAAAAATATCCTATCACTTTTACTACAAAAGTTACATTTTTTGATGAGAAATCTTGTATGTGTAATTTGGAGGCGGAACTTTTCTAGTAAAATGGAGAAAACACAACGATGTCTTAACTGTAGAGCTTGGGTGACTCCAAAACAGCTTGAACAAAAAATGTGCATTGATCAAGACTTACTAAGACATCTAAGAAACTATTATATGAAAGGATTCTGAGTGAAACTTTTTCCAGTCAGATTTATCCAAGGAGAAATCCAAGTAACACAGTCTGAAACCATAAAAACAGGCACTAGGAATAAAAATGTAAAATGAACTTTCTGGACATGATTTTCTGAAGGAGCCATGTTTGAAGAGCTATGCTGAGCTTTTTCTTGCAGCTTTCTACCCTACCTTGGAAAACTGCAGATGAGCCTCTGTGGTCCCTTCCAGCCTCACCCATTCAGTGATTCTGGGATTTGTGCCAGGCAGGACTGGAGCACACAGAGAAGGCAAAGAAACAGTCAAATCTCTCCAAAGAAACATTATGCAATGGATTCAGGCCCCTACATGCCACTAAGGACATGGTCTGTGGAGTCCAGAAGTAGCAGAACATGCTGCAGAGCAGATGAAAGTAGCGACAGATCTAAACTGCAAACCTCTTCTCTGCTTCCCTCTGTATGACTGTTGCGGTGGATTACTGTTCATTATATCTGATTCAATTACATTCTTTATTGTTAAGTTGTACCCCCTCCCCGTCCACCATTAAGTTGTCAATCCTCCCTTGTGCCAACCCCCTGCTTGGACCGCCCCATTTGGAATTCCCCTATTCCTCCAAGCCCCATTGGCCCATGTGCCCCACTCTCCTCCCCTTTGGTTTCTGTATTGTGTAACCCCACCTTGTGCTCCTCCCCTAAGTCTTCCCTATTGGGTTATTATTTGTACACTCCCCTTGCTCCTCCCCCACACATAAATTGTTGTACCCCTGTATCTTTTGTCTTTCCTCCCTGGAACCTTCAATAGAGTAAATCCCTTTTGGAAGCCACATGGAAGACCTCTCCCTCATCCTTGCTCCTGCCCTCGATGCTGTACAGCCTGTGCCGTAGAGCATCAGCCCTAAGCTGCCCTGCTTTCCAGGAGCAGCCCGCTCTTGGCTCAGTGCTGGGAGCTGGCTGGGGAAAAAATCCAGCACCTCATCATATGACCTGCTGGGAAGGCAGCAGATGAAGAATGCTAGAGGCAGGAGAGAAGCAGGGGAGCATCAGCTTCATGTAGCACAAGAGCGCCTGGAATAGCAAGAGGTCAAAACAATAAACTGAACCATAGCCAGGACCTGCACTGTATAAAATGATGCAGCAAACTTTGTCACAGTAGGCAAGTCTTCCCTGTGCCCATGTGCTACTCACTTTTCCCTACCTCCCAATACTGTATGCTATGGATCACTGGTGAAAAATCACATTAGGAGGTGTTATGATGTTTTTAAAAACCAAGTAGACAAAGTTTTATCCTCTTATAAGAAGTTTATGGTATAGCCATAAAATAAGCCTGTATAAGAAGGTGCAAGAAATTCTAGTTTTCTCAAAACACAGTGAAAATTCTCATGTTTTTTTATTTTCCTTTCATTCAAGATCACAAATTAGAAGTCTACCCTTTGAGAATCTCAAACTTTATCTTCTTCTACTACATCTAAAATGAAGGATGAATTCTAGAAGTGGTTGCACAGCTGTGCTTCCCAGCAAAGAAGGGTCACTTAGGACAAAAGCTCCTTACTAGGTTTCCTCAGGGCTGCTTTTCCACTTAGGGAAAGGTAAATTTCCCTGCCCATCCCACCACATCCAACAGTGCCTGTTACCAGATCTGGACCATGGAAATACAATTCTGCCACTCAGTGCACTGACAAGAGTCACACTGTCATGTCTCAAACTACAGGAATACTGAAGATGTAAAACTTGTGGATATAAAGAATCAAACTGAGTAACTCAGAGGATACTTACCACCCCTTGCTCCTCCACCCAGCTTGTTAACATTGTGCTATCATCTACATTATTTCATCATTTTAGGATATATTTATAAGTAGATGATGTTCTGCAGGACACAGCTGAGAGAATATGAAACATTGCAAATTCTTTTTGTTTGTTTGTTTCTTATACTTGTTTAAAAAAGTGTGCTTTTTATTATATAATCATTTGGAAACCTATTTCATGTGTTCAGTAAATTAAAGCTGACATGATTCTGTACAGGAAAGACATTGGATTTCCAGATACGATTGTCAGAAACTTACAAATAGCTAATGATTAGATGACCAAAAAAAATCACAGCTCAGTCACTGAACTTGTATTACTTGAAGAGATGGATAACACTGCTTAAAAACTGCTTATCTTCAATATAAGATCATTTATTTCCCTCTAATAGCAATCCATTTTTGAAAGTTTACGCTCTTAAATTCCAGGAAAAAAATCTCTAATATGAAGCACGATGCCATTTATATTAAAATCTCCCCAACACTTCAGTAATTTGCATCATTGATTTTTTCAACTATACACATTTTCGTAACAGCTTGCTAGCCCTGTCTCTGTGCTTAGAATAAACTCCCCAATCTGATTTAACAAGTGTAGAAAAATCAACGTGGTACTTATTTCAGTTTCCTAAACAGATTTCAGTTAAGCAAAAGCTCTAAATCTGATACAACAACCAGAGTCTGAATTCAGATTTCTGTCACAGCTCTTTGAATAGGCACTTGCAAACCAGTAATATTTATTATTTTAGGAAATAGAATATAACCACAGTTACCTTACTTAGAATCCAGTTCATGGAAGCCTATTTGTGCCCTTGCTCACTTCTGAACCATTTAAATATAACCTAGAAGCTCATGAGGCCAATTACATTTAGATACCCTGTGAAAGCAATGCTGACATACATCCATGAAACCCCCACACCTTTCCTCATGAGTCATATTCAATAAACAGAATTACTTTGTAAAGGATACAAGGATTGTTGTCATCAATGCTGCAGTTGTCCAGAATCAAGGAAATGCCATCCAAGTCATACACCTAAATAAAAACAAAAGTTTAATTTAACAGATGTCTCAACAATACTAATGGTGTTTCATACAAGAAATATATAAAAACATAAAAGGATTGTTTCATCAGAAATATTAAACATACTAACATGAATTGCAGAGTAAACCTGATGTTTTCAGCATGAGTATCACAAAACAGTGACACAAGTGGGCACTAATTTCACATTCTCCCTTAATTTAGCAAATGTTTGACTGAGGTATTTTCTGCTTCTCACACTGAGCCAGATAAGCTATGCTCACTTACAGCTCCTGCTTGCTTTCAGAAGCAAGAACCATCAAAAACTGTGAAGCAAAAAATAGAAAAAAAAGAAGTTGAAAAATATACCTACACACACAAGTTTGCATGAGACCACCTCTTCTGTACATTTAGTAGCAATGTGTTACTTGTGCGTGCCCAGCACAAATTCTTTATATCAAGTAAGAGCCGTGGATGTTTCTCCTTTAAGAAACTGTTCCTTATGTTACTAGAAAATGAGCAAAGATGAGATCTGGGGTCTTTAGTTCCTTGTGCATACATACACATGGGAGTTCACAACTACATTTGTGTGTGAATGTATGAGATAACAACAGATAATCTTAATAGACTCATATACATACACTTTACCAAGTCTTGGGACAAGTTGATCTTAACAATAAACATGGAGCATTATCTTATGGAAAGTATGTTCCATATGAAATTTATGTAGACTCCTAAGGTGTACTGTAACATCACACATGCATATTTATACTACACACATCCCCTTCCAACCTCATCCATTCTGTGACAGCCAAGCTATACTCATCCAAATCTTAAATTCTTTAATTTCTTAAAATGTAATTTCAAACCAAGAACTGCCAGTTAAAGGAATTTATCATAATGCCAGTTTAGGCTGTGGCATGATGATGATGTTCTCTCTTCCGCCTTTTTTGCCCCAAACAGAATGCATTTTTATGTACCAAGGAAAACAATAAACACAAAGTTTTCACTTTGTGTGAAATCATCATCAGGATCATCAGCTTTCTGAAACACAAGTTTTGTGATGAGAGGCAAGTCAAGTAGATTTAGATGCGAAATCTCAAACAGTCTATGGATCAATAAAACTGAACTCAGAGATGAGCACATGCCTCTTACAAGTTCCTTTTCAGCCAATGTTATTATAGAGTCTCAAGCTACATGAGAAAGTAGCAGTGACAGACAGACAGGCAATGCTTACATGTGTACGAAGCAGAGCACTACTAGGTCTTAAAACCCACCTTGCACATCTGTCCTAACATGCCTAACTTTACCTACATGAAGTACAGTTAATAATACAAGTTTAAAAATATTCATTCTTTCCATGAAATGATTGTGTTTTCTCCAAAGGCCATGTACCATGTATAGTATCATACTCCATAGCTTGAACAAGCAATGACCTTTATGTAACACAGTACTTGGACATGATTGGGAAATGCTGGTTCTTTGATATTCAGGCTATAGCCAAACACTGATGTGCCTACAATGCTACCTCTTACTTCCCACTGTTGTTCCAATTGGGAGCGGCGATAAAGAACGACATAAACTCTCAAGGGAGTTTCAACAGGAGAATTCTCTGGTTTATTACTTCAGGCTTGTTTTATAGACTGGTACGTGGAAGGTACAGAAAAGAAACTCTTATTGGTTAACAAAGTGCTACATCACCATCATTGGTCAGGGGCACAACACCCCCCTGACTTTCTCCTGCAAGGAGAACAAGAGGACAGACAAACAGCACCTGCAAGGCTGTTTAGTGTCCCTGAGAATTGTTTTAATTCCTTCTCATATTTTTCCCAGGCTACTTTCTCAGGCAGCCTGAGGAGCTATGCGGCCTGTAATTTGTACAGGCACTGTGGTTCAGATTTAGCATCCATATCCCACCAGTGAAATGTTCAACAGTAGAAATTAATTAGGATCAAGTGCTGTCAACAGAAACAAACCATGCAATAATATGCTCCAGTCTGATTCAAACGAGATATCTGGTTAACAGAGTAATCATGTTGGGAAAGTACAATTTTAATCAGGATCCACCAACACTTCAAAAAGTTACTGCAAGAGCGTAAGATTGCTTCAAAGCTATGTGGGAACAGCAGCAGCAAATCACAGCCTTAGTGATACCTTCATGAAAAAACAAGTTGCTAACTACCAGTGCCTTGCACCTCCTCCCTTAGAGTTTCTTTAACATCATACAATTCAACTGTACATACAATTTTTATGACTTAGGCACAGCTTTTGTCACCACAATGCCAGCTTCAGAATGTCACCTGTGACTTACTACACAGGGAAATGGAGCAAGAAGAAAAGCCTTACAATGTACATTGTATACTCCAACTGACTCGAGATGAAGGGGCTAAATCCTGAGCAACCACTGTTAGAAAAGTTCCAGTCCATGCCAGCCATTCCTGAACTCCAGTGGTCCACTGAAAGCATTTTATGGCAACCCACAATTCGTGCTCTGTAATGTGAGCCAGGTCAGCAACTGCTCTGCACATAGCAGAGCAACCTCTGCAACAAGGGTGCCTCAGGCAGTCAGAGGGAAGAACCACTGTCCCACCAGTGTACCACTTGCATTGCTGAGAATCATTCAAATCCTGTCACTCTCATCTCCTTGTAACCTCCCAAACAAGCACATTTTGTAAACACTGAGAAATCGTCCTACATCTCAACCTCTAAACAGTCTAAAAATCCACTAGAACTACACTGCCCCAAAAAAAACTGTTTTGGGAACTTTTCCAACTAATTATTGGTCTCAGAGATTTTGCTTTGAAGAGAACTATCTGTGAAATGCTCAGTGTAGAGCAAGGAAGTGGAGCTTTTGCAGGGACCTTCTGCAGGGCCCAGGGTGGGGAAGGACACAATATTGCACAAAACCCAAATCTTACTTTAAATACGGTGTGGAAGTACCTTGTGAAGAGAACATTTGTGGCTGGTGTGAAACTGGCTGTAATCTGTCCAGATTTTGGAAGAAATTATAGACAGAAACTAAAGAATAGGACAGTTGTGGTGTCTGGTGAACAGAACTGGCTGGCCTGTGTTACAAAAGATCACTAAATCTATTTACATTGCTGACAACATAGTTGGCCAGTAACAGGGAACTGCGCTGGACTGTAACAAAGCCACAAGGCTATTTTACTATCAAGAACAGTGTAGTTCAGAATAATCCTATATTCTGACAAGTTTAGAATTTAAACAATCCAGCTCTGTGCTAATGATCTCTTAATGTTTCAGTCAAGTCAGTAATTAATATCTTGCCCTAATGGTATGATGTCAGTTTCTGAGATAGTGTTCTAAAATATCAGAAACCTAGAATATCCAGCATTCCAAGACAGGTATCCATCCCTGGCAGTTAAAAAGCCTACTTTCACAACACAGCTTTATATTTCTGTCATTTGTTTACTGCACTTGCTTCTGAAACATAATGAAGATGTGTATCATGCCAGTAAGAGATATTTAAATGTATTGCACTGAAGAGAAAATGCCTTTCACAATGACAGTGGCTGCTAGATTTTTCTCTTTCTCTGTATCTGGAAATCAATAATCTATCTTAATTATTTAAACCAGGCTCTTAAAAGAAGCTTGTGTAAGTAAAGGTGCTATACAAATTTAAAACAAAGTTTATGGGAAGAAGTATCCCAAGGCTGTATTTGCTCACTGCTTCCATGGCCAAGTCTTTAATTCACATGATCTGGTACATGTCAGCCCCGAGAAAAAAGTTATGCTTTTTCTCTTGATAACCAGTGAAAAAAAGAAGGACAAAATTAGACATCTTTATGTTATCTTACAGAAGTCACATTTATTGACCAATATATAAACAAAGTCTGTAGCACAGTGAACGATATGTGCTTAAACAGAATTGCTTCTGACAATCTCCCAGTACTTTCTCATGAAGTACACAGAAATAATTATCATTAACACAATCATTCACAGCAGAACCCAGGAAAAGTATATTTTTTATATATAAAATATATAAAGTATATTAATTGAGACTACTTATTGAATCTTTCCCTCTAGCAGCAACAGAACCAAGCTCAGGGGTAAGAATGCAAATTCTCTGAGCATGACAGTGCTTGTTGCTAAATCTGCCTACATCTACTAAAATGCAACTACAGTCTCCAGGTCCAGCAACTGTCCAGACAAAAATGGAAAAAAATAAAAAACAGTCCAGCAAAAAAAAAAATCTCTTCAAAGAATCATTAACATTTTGCACATTAGAAACATCACCTAATCAACTATTATGCAGAAAAGAACATTCATGCCTTTACATAACAACAACTGAACATACACTACTCTTCCACCAGAATGTGATCAATTTGCAGCCTTCAATCAATGCAGAATGAAAAAGGTGTTTCTTTCAGTCACAGAAAAACTTCTATTTCGTAGTTGTGTTTCACCAAACTATAGGTGAGCAAAAAGAGAATGTTTTCTCAAACAGAAGTGGACTAGTAACAGTCTGAGTAATGCTGACACTTACTCTTCTTCTTACACATTATTTATAATCACACTGAAAAACAGACAAATTTCTAGGTTAAAAAAGCGGTTTGGGTTGGGAAACATATTCGAGAAATGAGTCAAAAAACAGGAACAAGCAGGAACCATTTGTTAGAAAAACCTCTAGAGACAACATTCATTACAGATCACCAGTTTCCTACCAGACAAAAAGTCTGTCTTCAATCATGTTTAGCTCCACAGTACGAAATTTTTACTCCCGTTATGGAACTTAAAAGATTTCTGGGAACAATCAAACTGGAAAACTTCACACTTTTATGAACTTGGCTCCTTCCCTTCACTATTTGTAATGTTCCCAGTTCTGTCACACAGCTGTAAGTACCCAAACCCACTCAAGTAGCAGCACCTGGTACCTAGGTAGGGCTGTGCTGGTTGGCTGCAAAATGCTAGCCCTGGTCTGCCGTGCATCAGGGCTTCAGCAACCACAACCTGACTTCCCCTCTCTGGAGCACTTCTTTGGGTTTCTCATCTAC